GGCCAAGGACAATTAGTGTTGGGTAGATGAAAACTCTGGATGTAAGTTTTCCAAACTTTTTTTCCGAAAAATGCCTTTAAATCTGAGCAAGCATTCTTGAAATTAAGAATATGCATGTTTTGTTTAAATATTCCTATTGAATCGTATTTGCCGAATAGTATTTACCTATACAACATTAATTTGACATTGTATGAACAGTTTAAGAAATGAATAATGAATTATAAAAAAAAATATATCATTCAATAACAACTTACGTTATATGAATCGTCAAAGGGAACATGAAGTGTTTTGTTACCCAACAAAAGTGTTGAAAATTCTGTCAACTTGCGTGAGTACAAATTAATTGTTATCGGGTAGTTGTTACTCTTGTTGCATGGACGAAACTCGGTAAAATTCAACCAATATTTCCCCTAGAAAAAAAGATCATCAAGTTGGTTATATTACAAACATATTATATTTATATATCTTTATGTATACATTTCTTCTGTCCGTGTGTAAGTATGCAAACTCCTCCTAAACGGCTGGACAGATATTTATGAAATTTTGTGTGCGCGATTAAGTTGATTTGAGAAAGGTTTAAATTCTCAATTTAATCCGATAGAACATGTTTTTAATTTTTAATTAAAATGATTAATTATTGTTATCAATAGTATCAATAGTTATCTATACATCTCTATGGTTTTTCATACCACAAGGATACAGTGATTCGATCAGCTGATTGTGTGTCTATTCTAATACACGGGCAACGCCGGGTCGGGACAGCTTGTACATATATATATAATTTATCATAATCAAAATAATGGCTAATTGTAAATATATTTTTTTTAAATATTTTTTGATACTAAGTTCTATGCTAAAATGTATATTATAAACACATTATAGCTCATAAAAATATAGTTTTTACTGAGTTAAGTTATGAAATAGAAATAATCAGATAATGGCTATTATGAAAGTTAAATTTGTTTTCAAAATAACATAATATTTTATTTGTCTATTTCTTAAAACTGTTATTTTACATATAGGTGGTAAGTTGCCCAGAGAACGCCTCATTATAATAGAAATTAGAAATTTAATTTAATTGTGTTTCAAATGCCATTTATATACAATATGTATGTTATACTAAATAATATTAGCTATAGCCTGTGATGAGTTTATAAAAATTATACAGTAAAATTTAAGTTCGTCGAGGAACGTTTATTTGTGTAATAGTATTGTCAATTTCTTTGTATGTAGAAGGGGTTTTAATAATACTAAAAAATTATACCATTCGTTAATTTCTGTTTTTTTTATATTATATACTTACGATTAACATAGGAATTTGTGCGTTGACACTTTTACAGCCACTCAGAAGTACAACCAATAACAGAAAAATTCGAAAAATAAATACAAAAATCATTTTTTTTTTAAAGTAAACAACTCACTATAATAAGCAAAAAAAAAATGTGTGTACTTGCTTTGATTTCGTTCAATTTAATAATAAGTTATTTCCCCGTATAATACCGGTGTTACGTGAAGCCGCCGAGGCCATAATTATTAAAAATGCAGTTCCTGTCAAAGTTATCAGATTTAAATCGAATTAAAAACAACAATGAAATTGGAATGTCGACACATGGCTTTCGTGTAAACTCTGCCGTTTTGGCAACTGACCCAGCACGCGATCAGATGCATTGGCAAGCTGTGTACGTCAAATTTGCAGAAAATTAGCGCTCCGGATAACCCTCAGTCAATCTTTTCAAACTATACATACAAGTATAATGTGAGATATCTAACCCTAGGATGTGTGTGTGCATGAAAAAAAGGAAGTGACCACGCTGTGATCACTTCTGTGTCACACTTCTCCGGATTAGCAAAATGTCCGTGTGGTGATTCTCGATGTCCCTTCAAGACAATAACAGATTAGCCCTGCTGTGCATAATTTGAGATAGCTTTACACCCTTTTGCTCGTACACGCCAATAATCCCAACAAATGTTGTTATTGCGCAAAACAATGTTTAATCGCAGGTACATGCGTAACCGTCGATAATTAATTTATTTTCTAATAACTTGCCATTGTATTCCATTGTAATAATAAAAAAAAATTAAGAAACCCGTACAGTGGGATCAGGGCATGCCAGGGTAGGGGAGGTCACTGGTATACAATCATCATATTACAACTGAAAGTGATGAAATCACTTCCCCAAATTGAATATTTTATACTTTTGATGCATATCTGTTGATAGTAGTTTTTGACAATTTTAGTAAAAATCAACACAGAAAGAAAGTATTGTACGTAACACAATAAAAATATACGTATACGCTATTAAGTATATTTTTATTTTGGTTAGGGTTTATTCATAATTGTATAGGGTGATAATTTTATCATAAGCCACTCAATAACTCATAGGGTTTAAAGAGAAATTTAGTATTTTTTTCATGATGATTTTATACAATGTAATCTCAATCGTTCACAATTTGTTTTTACCCTCCCCTTCCCAAATTAGTTTTTTTGATAGCAACTTTTGAAACCTAAATGGTAACTCATACATTCCATTAATTTTTTTAATTGAGCATAATACCTCCCTTGATCTCTCTCTTATTTTAAACTCCCGTTGTCCCTCCATTATCGTCCTCCTAATTTCCTTTCTTTCCAAAGCAGGATTTCTTATTTAATTGTCCTTTTCGCATGTTTTATTGGTTGTTAAATTTGTTTTTACTGTATATTGATTAGTAATTGTCGTTCTGAAATATTGTTAAAATAAAAGCACATCAATAAAAAAATATATTTATAAAATGGCTTTATTACCTTTTTGGCATAATGCTAATGTGAATAATTAATATAAAAAGGGTATTGTGAATGATATTTCACAAAAAAAATGTTATGTAGGTCAAGTTGGAACCAACATATAATACTAGGACTATAAAAGTTGTACTGAAAATTTGCTAGAATAAAATTCTAAAAATACGAAAAATAAACTGAGATAGCTATTTTGTAGGTGAATTATAAATATAAAGTATAATATTCCATTGAAACTTCATTTTATAAATTATAGCAGAAATAGTAAGTGGTATTCTTCAGATTAACATTATAATAACGTGTTGAATTAATATACAATACATTTATCATATTATTCATAAACGTTTTGATTTAAACACCTAATTTTTGTATTGGTGTGTCCTTAGTTAAGCAAGTGAAATTTAGAAATAATATAATAAGGAAATTTAATGATTTTAATACACAAGCAGCTATTTTGTACGTGGCCTCTAAGTTTTATAGTTAAATTATTGAAAACCGTTTAGTCCCTATAAATATTTTAATTATACCAAATAGGTCAACCGATAGAAATAAAAAAGATACACGAACAACTTTTTAGAAGCAAAATGCATTTTTTATTAGAATGCGCCGTAGCGTTTGTAAGAAAATTACTGATATTAAACTAATAACAGGTTTTAGTGTTTAAAGTTTTCTTGGACCCCGTTTATAAAAACTGATTACAAAATCATATTCTCTCATAATAAATGAGTAAGCTCAAGGTATTTTAAAAATTGCTTTATTTAGTCAGAAAACAGGTTAAGTGATACTTGTGTTTCAGTTGTTCTTCAGTAAAGGCTTACAAACAGCGTTCTTTTAAAGTGTACTTGTATGGTTCTTTTACAACTCTCAACAACGTATTTATTAACATTTTAAGACAGTATAATCACATCTGTAAACAGGTTCGTAGCCGATATAAATAAGATAATTTTGGTTTTTTTCATATCGAGTTTCCCGTGAGGATTTGATCTTTACAATATCTGCTAATAAATGGATATTTAAGAATTCTGATGTTTTCCATAATTCATTAGAATATAGACTTCAAATACAATATTTTGTATGTAGTACCCCTATCCATTAAACGTTGCCACAGCATTTTTTGTTGTATTCATATCGTGTTTCAGAAGATGCGCTCTACTGCTGGAATTGTAAAGTGCATCCGTACAAAATTTTATGAGTTTAAAATTCGTTAATAATTTGTATCTAAGCGATTTTCGACAAAAAATGTATACGTGAGAAACTTATAAACATAACGGCTAATTAGTGAAATTCATATGGCTAGTTTCTAATAAACTTAATCAAAAACCCCAACATTAAAATTAAGTTTCAACCTTTAATTTTTTTACATTAAAATAATTTTCAGGCAAAAATTGTTCTGTTCATCACTGTAGCATATTTGTGTACACAATTTTAATTCTTTAACATTTGTATGAATTTCTAGGTATTTACTATTTTACTAAAGTTACTAAGTAAAACTGAGTACGTGCTCAAATATTTCAGTTTCAGACAACTAATTATTTATTAAAAAAATCTATGTTATATAAAAAGTATTTATCTACTAATTGTAAGACACTAGTAACAGTTTATTACTAATTTATATTTATTTACCTTAAATCTATGATACAATAATTATTATTGTATATTTAATGATTATTTCTATACTGAAAAGAATGTTTACTTTCAGGTGATCAAATTAAAAACAATATGGGTGATTTGATGAGTCATGGTAAAAGTGTAACTATTAATAATTTGCTTTTAAAACTGTTCCATATAACAATTAGAAAAAAAAAAATATTTTTTGTATTTTTCTTGTACACAGTTCTAGTATTTATGTATAGTGTTTTTGGACTTCTATATAGTATCTACTATGATAACATTGATAGTGAAAAACTTGGTCAAGTCGTACTTATTTACATTAATTATTTTCTTGCTATATTCAAGTACACAACATTAGTGCGAAATGTTAAACAAATATTAGAAATGGTAAACATAACAAGTTTTGATTTTTCGGTTAGTCATCAATGTCAATTCAAGGAGACCAGTATTTTGAAATCAAATAAAAAGCTTTGTAAACTTTATATTTATTTGATGGGGTTTACTCTAACTTTTTGGGGATATGTTCCCATGTTATGTAACTTGGTAATGCCTAAAGAAGATAAAACCAACTCCTCAAATTTACTTTCAACATATTTCTACTATCCTCTTTCTGAAACTTCGTACAAGAAATACTTTTACCTGCTTTATACAAATGAAGTAGTGTTGGGCTCTTTTACTGGATACTTCGATATTCTGTTTGATTTACTATATTTCTCACTATGCGGAGCAATAGCCACTCAATACGAAACTATTATAGTAGCATTTGAGAGGTTCGGGCACAATAAAGACACAAAAAGTAAGTAAATTGATTAGATCGTGTTTAAACATAATATATGTATTTCTTGTGTAGTTGCCATAACTAACTGGTACCATATTTAATTTTAATCGACAAACTGGTGAAACTAATTTCAATAGTCCTAAATATAATGCGTAGGTAAATAAATTAAATTATTGGTATCCTAAAAATATAATTTTTGTGTATTAACTATATCACATAGTAAATAATACAAAAACGATACTCAATAAAATATCTAATTTGTCCCATTGCTAGTATCTTGCGATTATTTTTATTTTGACTTATTAATTATACTACGTTATTTAGATCAACAAATTAAAATGTACGAAGACTTAAAAATTTTAATTTCGGATTGTCGAAATGTTGGTTTGTAAGTATAACTTATTTATTATTACTTATTAATAATTTGTTTTTAAAATCGAACGATTAAGTTTTTGGTATATTAAACAAATTATTTTTAGCTACACGGAAGAATTTTATTCTATAGTTCGTCCTGTAGTATTACTTCAAGTTGCTGTTTGTTCCGGTTCTCTCATAACAAGTTCTTATTTTATATCACTGGTATTATGCCATTTACTATAGTTATTTATATGAATTAAACTATACAATTTATAACTATTTTGAAAAACGTGTTCATTTTTTATGTTTTGTTAGCAATTTTTGACTTATTCAATGGATTTTGCCAAATTGTTACAATTCATTGTATGTTTCATCTTATACGCTATACAATTATTCATGTATACTTATATGTTGGACTCCATAAATGAAAAAGTAATTAAGAACAAATCTTGAAATATCGCATAAATAAAATTAATTGTAAGGTTGTATGGATTTAGAGAGACTGTATCAATTTTGGATTGTACTCTTCTGACTGGACGTCAATGGATATTCGTTTTAAAAAGTTGTTGCTTCTAGCAATGCAAGTGAACAGTGCGACTTCAACTGAAATCCAAGCAACGCCGAATAAACTTATGAACTTGGAGTTATTTTTAAGTGTAAGTTTAAGTTATTGCGATTTTTATTACGAGATGATGCAAATTTCAATTTTATAATGGTAAATTCCAATAGTCATAAATACATTTACATTAATAATAACACTGGGTAAACAGAACATTATAACATCTACAAATTTACACGGAAAACGAAATCTATAATCAATTTACCTCAGTTGAACACGTTATTACGACTTTAAGATATTGTGGTATTGAATTTTTATATCATAAGAATAAAATGTTTAACTGTAGATAAGTATATAATAATACTATACCAATATATCAGTTCTGTGATTTTAAATAATAGACATTTTTTTTACCTTCGAAGCGTAACTGCGAAATTGTTTTTACAATGTTGCGTTTTTATTTTTATATTTTATTTCTGGACCCTATTATTTTCTGAACCAATTTTTTACGTAGCAAGTTCGCAGATCATAAGTGGTACCTGAAAGGTACTTCATTGGAACAAAATGTGTTAAAGTACACATCTTTCCCATCAAAATTTAAAAAAAACACCAATGCAACTTAAAATTACGGTGCGCTATCATTTTTTTTAAATCGAATTAGTTACAAATTTGCAAGTAATATTCTTAAGGAATATTAGTACTAATATACGTTTCCAAATATAAAAAAAATATCAAAATCATTGTCAAAAAATGACTAGAAACAGACGTTCAACCTTAATCCAATTTAAAACCATATACCCTTTTACCTATATTTAATATTCCTACCATAATTTACAGATTCATATCGAAGCTTTTATTTGAAAGTGAACGTATCTTTTTAAACACAATAATTCGTGAAAACTTATGACCTCCCCGAGTCCAGTATAGTATAATGCCCCAACCTCAGTGTACAGGTTATTTTTTATAATAAATAGGCAGCTAATAAAGTATAATATACCTAAGTTATAAAATAAATTGTTTTTCTGCATTCACATTAGTACCATAAGAGTCATTACAGTTATGAACTATAATTAAAAACAAATTGTACCTGCAATGCGGCGCGGAGCTGAGAAGCTATAGGTTTTACAATGATCTGTTTTCTTTTGTATCTGTAATCATGATAACTTTTTCTCCTCTGGAACGATACACTCGGGTGTGAACCTGAAATCGCAAGGATGGTCGAAAACTCGAAAATAGATAAAGTCTACTAATTCACCACCAAAACTGGAAAACCCCGAAAAAACATGGCCAGTTTTTCAACATTCAAATTTGACTTGCTATAAATTAGCGACAAACGGTCGGGTTTTGTAAACATTTTGATAGAATATTTATTAGGCATGCTCCTATTCACAAATTGTCTCAAACAAAAATTCCTATAACTTTGCAACCCCCGGGAGGCTAACATATTTTTTGACATTTTCATGTCTTAGCTCTGGCACATAACCCTGGCAAATATCCGAAAAAAGCGTTACCAAAAGAGCGTAACGAAAAAAGCGAAAGGGTTGGGGACGGGAGATAGGGGTGGAATAGGGGGTAGGAGATAAGGGTGAGATTTAGCCGGTAAATAACCGAAAAAAAGTGTTACCAAAAAAAGCGTTACACGCCCAAAGGTACCAAAGGGATCCATTTCGAATGTTAATCTGCTACGCTGTTTACTGATATGAGATAAGAGATATGTCGTACGTTCAACGTTCAAATTAGAACTAAATGATAAATTCAAAATAGTTTAATTCTCTATGTTAAGTTATTTTTGGCCAGATAATAAACACTACAATTTTAGCCAGAAACATGATTGTACATCATTTTTTAATCTCCTTGGCTTATGCTGTAACTGGAAGCTCCATGTAATTTTTTTTTTTAATTATAATTACACCACTACTCTAAATTTATTCGGTACTTCAACGAGACATGAAAATGCTCTTTCGTGGTTGCAGACTCAGCTGAAAAACTTTTGTTTTAATTTTCTAGACTTAAGTAAGAGCTAAAAATTAGATTGATGATATTCCTAGTATATATCTACATTTAAGAAAAACAATCTGTAGTCGACAGATTATTGGAAAATCAAAAAATTTCAACATTTCGGACTTTAAAAGCTTTTTGGGCTTATTAATTTTGAAATTTAGTATTATTTGTTTTGTCTCATAAGTTCTATATGTTAAAATATGATATATACTAGGTATGTATATAGTATAAGAGTATAAACGAGTGGAAGTTAGGTATTTGAATAAAACAAAAAATAAATAAATTGATTAACACACTATAATTGATAAACACATATAGGTAGTAAATAAAATTATAGATAAAATATTACCTACAGACAAATAAACAGTGTACCACAAACACGGTACTAAGAATACTGACAAATAGAGTTAGCCCCGAGCCCTTAGCTCAAATGCTTTTTTTATCCCACAAGGTTACATGTGTGTTTCAGTTAATGTTTTTTACCTGAATCAGCTTAAATTATTTATCAGTCTTCAACAAAAAATATGCATATATTGTCATTTCAACTAATGATAATTGATAAAATATAATATTTGAAGATCTAAATAAAGAAATTATATAGAAAATCATATACCCATACTGCATTTAATTATGTAAAAGTTAAATTATAAAAAATAAAGGTAATATTATTTTGATTTAACAATATTACATATTATTTTTAATGTACCTCCTAGTCTTGCCCAATACATAACTAGCTAGGAACCAATTTTATTCTTAAAATGTTATATACTTGTTTTATTGTGATTTTGTGCTATAATTAAAATAAGTAATACAAATTAATACATTTAATAAATTGTGTTTAGGTTTTACGTGTGTCGTACAATATTGTATCATTTATGTTGAACGTCAAGATGAAAAGTTCAGCCGACAAGTAATGTGTAAAAGTCAAGTTATACAACTTTTGAGAACAGCTAGTACTTTATCACACTGACTGTAAGCATTTGTGATTCATTAGTGAAGAAATAGGAGCATATCTAATTAATAATAATTAAATGCTTAGTTTTCATTACATATTATTTTCAAAAGCACATTTTTTCTTTTAAGCACTATTATGAATGTAATAAAACACTGTTAAACAAATAAATATAATGTTAACACAACATTTTAACTTCTACTGAAAATACAATTTGTTTTATTTATATATATTTGTTTTCTACTGAAATACTAATATGACTTTAAACAAATTTACAATGAGTAGAATATGGTGTTTAATTAATACATTTTTGCTTTTAAGAAAGAATTGGTCTTACAATAATACATTTTATTGTGTTTGGAGGTAATTCATTCTTTATTTCACGTCGTCGTTTTAGTAGCATTTCTATTTTTAGAGTTCCTATTTTTGGCACTCAGTGAGTCCTTCAAATTAGTTTCCGTAGTAAAATTAATAGTAATTACGCTAGGATGTAGTCCGCGGCGTCTAGCACACCTTGAATATATGTCTAACTCGTTGAACCAACAAGAAAACCTTGAGAGAGATGTGAGTTATTGACTAAGTAGGGATTTATGGCAGCGGTCAAAGTTTAAAATCGCTCTCCTGTAAAATCACTGAAATCGACTTACACACCTACTCACAGTTGTTACAGATATACATATTTGTATTATATCTACTAATATATTATGTATTCTATAATATAATATAATTAGTATATATTAATATATCTACTATTATATTATGATCGGTTACTCCAATTTCTCTACAATCAAACTTTGATAAACTCACTGTCAGTCAAAGTGCTGCTGGTCAAACCCATCATACAGGGTGGGGCAGTGAAACGGGCAATTTTAAAATAACTAAAAAAAACCAAAAAGATTTTTTTTTAATAGATTTACTCATACCATCTAAAAGTATATAAAAAAGCATTATAAAAGTGTTAATTTTGTATTTAATTTTTATGAACGAATCCGTAAGATGGCGTCCATTTCGAAGAAAGCATTCGTCAAGTCGTCTTTCAAAACTGGACATGACATTTCGTAACATTTCCTGAGAGATTTGTGTCACCTCACCGTATTAAGATCTAGAAGGATATTAGGATATAGACAACCGCTAAATCGCCACACACAATGAGAATTTTCGTTAGGTTTTTTGGTAACGCTGTAAAAACTGTCGATTTTTCCGGTTGTGTGCCAAAGTAAAGACATATAATGTCAAATAACGTTAATGTTTTTCGTCGTACATTTTTAAAATTGTGTAGAGTTTCTTTAATCTCCGGTAAGTGTACTTTTGGAAATATTTGGATTTCTAACGTGGAGTGTTGCAGACCTAATAGTTTTATATGCAGTTTCCAAAACAATGTGCACACTACACATTTTTCTTTGTACGACATTTCATCATATTGTACATGCAATCGGCAATAACGTCCAAAGAGCTTAAAGACATCCGGTAAAATTAATTTCAAATGCAATGTATTTCTTGAACCTTGCTGTAAAATTTTAAATTAAATAAGAATTTCATTCTTTAGTGATCCGTTGTTTAGATTATTTTATACGTTTATTTAAAAAATAAGTGACCAAATTTTTTAATGTGACGTTAGTGAAAGACAAATGTGCTGAGTAGTGTTAATGAACTATTCTCTCTCAAATAGAGAGAAAAAGAGCTCCTGAGGCGTTTCCTATAAAAGTAAACACATATTTTGCAACGTATAGAAACGGACTGGTACAAAATAACTTCGGCATATATTTTTAAAAAATATAAAAACAAGAAAACTATAGCAAATAAATAAATTAAATTTTTTTTTTAATTGGCAACGCTATAGACTTACTTGTTAATGAATATATCATGTCGTATTTTAGAAAAAATAATCTATGGAAAATCGTAAACATTGGCGTGACATGATCTTATAAAAATGTTATTAGGCTCGGTTGAGTTTCAATTTCAATTGCTAACTGGATGTGTTAAGTTTTTTACAGCTAGATTTGTTGGAAATTTTGGCAGGAATTTTCATACCAGCTGACAGTTTGTTTCATATTTTATTATTTTCCGAAATATTGCACGCGCTCTATCAATAGGAGCGGCAACTAATATTAAGCGCAGCGTAAATTCGAAAGCATCGTTTCTCTGTATAATATATTATACTCAATGATATTAGGTATATCGTATAGCTGTACAGGTGATCCATTCGTAAGACTCTTATTTTCGCCAAAAGTAAGAGTTTTAAGTATTGTATTTTTGTCTTTTGAACATTTTGATAAAATACAAAATATTTATCTTTTTTAGTATTTTCCAGATCGCTATTGACTTTTGAAACTTAAATAAGAACGGTTATATATACATTCAAGTAACGTATTAAAATAAGAATATTTTGCTGAGCATTTTGACTAACCGATAATTAGTTTTGAATAATTATGCTCTCAAAGTTATAAGAAGTTGCGTTTTGTTTATCAAAAACAACACGTATGTTCCGCTTTTGAGTGCCGAACTCACGCATTGTGTTTAATAAATATTGTATCATGAAAAATGTTTTCGCTAACAACGGAAGAGTGTTAAGTGTTTTAACATAAATTAACAAGCGGCGGCTTGTACGTCGTTTTACAATGAGTTCTACTAATCAGCCAGGCAACGCTTACACAGCTGACAGCACCAAATCAAATTGTTATTGACCAGGCAACTTTGGATGGTATACAAAATGAAAATAAAAATGAAAATTTAAAAAAAGTTGTATTAGACTTATAAGCGAATATTGCGAAATTTCAGAGCCAACTGTTAGATCTCCAAACGAGTAAAATATATAATACTAATACAGATAAAAACTCTAGTCATACAGAGTTACATGACAAAATGGGTTCTAGCTCATGTGTTAGAAGCCTAACCCAAATTGAAAAAACAGCGAATGGAAGCATATAAAACTACCTTTGTTTTTTGTGGACTTAGATCTATAAACAATGATATCTAAGACGTAGACAGTCTTTACTACCACAAAATTAAAGTCGAACCTACAAGAAAAAAAAAGAAGTGCCACAATGTAAAAATTATCAATACTTTTTACATACCAACAACATTTGTCAGAAAAACCTGTTTGTATCCAATATGGCGAAGATCATAAAACAGAAAACTGTTCAAAACCAAAGAAATCAATAGCCAAATGAGCAAATTGGAGAGAAGTTTGTGAGGTTTACAAGTGATGTATTAAGAGTTATTCTACCCTATCCAGTAAAGTACAATTGAACAGAAACCAATCATAATGATTACCAATAGTCAAATAATACACATTTTATTTAAATTTTCGACTAAGTAGCTTTAACGAATACTTTAAAATAAAATTTGAAAAATGCCTTAATAAAAATAAATTATGCTACCAGAACTTGTTTTCTAAATATAAAGATATATATATCTTGTTTTTTAGTCTAAGGCGAAAAGACTTACATAAGTTAGCAAAAGTATTATACGTGATAATCAAGATATGCATGCATTTTATTAATTTAGTTTTACAATAAGTTTCAAAAAGGATAAAATAAACAATATTAATTTCAATTTACTTTACTTGCGTATTATTTTCACAGCGATTACAATTTTTTTCTTTACCTTATACCATACTGGTAGGGTTGACTAACCAAATCCTAGGAAATAGTGTATGCATAATAGATTAATGACTTTAAAGATTAAATAGTATTTTGTAGACGTTCTCACGCATCACGTCGTTAGTTACAGCATCAATGAAATCGTTTAATTAATTTTTGTTTTAAATATTTTGGTAGACACATTTAGGTAACGCGTCGCCTGAAAAGTACTTGAACAACGGTCGGGTACAGCGTTGTTCTATGATTATCCTCGATGGCCTGATGTCTGTTGACTTACAGTCAGGTTTGTTACACCTTAATCGTCTGCATCAAGTTTCAGGCTAATGACTTAACCATTAAAAAAATCATCGAAAATTGAAATAGTTATTTGATACAAGGTTCTGAGGAGGGCAAACTGATTAAGTACAATGGCATTTTAATACAAATGTATTTTATATAAACTATTGTAGTATCTTGTAGCTTTTTGAATTCATATTTTGCTTCAAAAATTATCATCTCACAGATTAACTACATTGTTCTTAATTTGTAATGTATGCACAAATTTTACCAACACATACTATAATACAACACGCTAAGACATTAAACTACAATTTTAAATTTAAAAGAAAAAAAAATAATATCAATAATACTCAAATACGTTAACGTTGTTTGGTAAGTGAACAAGAAAGCAATTGGTATTATGACTCACATAATGAACTCTCTAAAGTATAGGAAAACTTTTAAGGTAATTGGATAAAGTTGTTTTTGTTTTCAAAAGAGCTTCGTGTTTTATCCTGGTAAACGATAGTTTATGTCAACAAATTATCATAAACATTAAACTATGAGGATGCTCGTATTTTTAGAAATAACTACATACAATTCAGTTCAAATAAAAAATTGTATATTTTTTTCTACTTCATCTGATATATCCTTTGTTTTTTTTAGAAAACAATATTTTTTTTTTTTTATATTGTCGTTAAGTTCTACTACTTAAAACTGTATAATACATGTATTATGGAACCATGTTTTAAAAATAATTGCAAATAATTGTACATCAACGTTTTGTTGTGTTATGTTTTTTGTAAAATGTACTTAGATTTTATTTCTCTTATTTTCACAATGATAGTACATTCTTACTCTTTTTCACTATTAGTCAACATTTGTTCATCCACCCTAAACTTATTTCAATAATATTTATTAAATTGACTTATTGATATAAGGGAGATTCAATTAACGTACCCTTCTATTCTATGCAAATAATTACCATTTTGTAATTTTTCTTAGAGGATAAATTTTAACTGGTGTTATTTTGCAGTATTAAGCAATATTAAATTGTTTATCTTTTTTGGTAACTTTCAGAGTTATATTAACTTTTGAAACTTAAATGGTAGCGTATACATTTTATAATTTGTTTAATTAAGAATAATTTACTAAAAAAATTGATTGGTTGATAAACGATTTTTAATAATTACTTTTCAAGTTATTAAAGTTCAGGACAGAAGGAATAGTGGAGTGAAGGATTATTTTTATTTACTTATTCACACTCCACCTCCTATTTTAAATTTTAAACTTAAGTACCTTAAAAATATTAATTCAAAATTGATTATCGACCAGTAACATTTTTAGCAAATGAATCTTAATTTCAAAAGTTTATTCAATTCATACGTTATCATTTCAGTTTCAAAAGTTGATAGAGCTCTAAATACTAAATAAGAAGCATAGCTTCAAAAAGGTAATTATTTAGTAATTGTAAAATATAGTAAAATAACATCAACAAAAATGTATTCAAAAAGAAAAACTACATAACTGAAAATATTTTAAGAGACATCTAGTGTCTTAAATTAAATATATTACCCTGTAGAATAAATATTTAAACAGTTTTGGCGTTAGTTTAATCGCATATATTTGTATATGTGATCTATTACGACAAACCAAAAAAATTAGCGAGATTATAAAAATAATAAATAAATGTTTATGACGTCAAAATAGTTCAAATAACATGGGCGTGTTCGCAAGTTGTGTAAATAGTTATATTATACTTACATACAAGTATAATGTCATACTTGTAATATTATCATGATCATTTTTTTAATACTGAACTGTTATGGTAGGGAAATATGAATTTTTAAGCGGGACAATGATTGGTTTGATAAATGACAAATCCTCGTAGCCAGTTTAAAGAGTTGTGGTTAGATATAGAGAAATTCATTTCTAATCATCAAAACCATATACTTGTATTATTTAACCCTTATTCGCGTGAGATTGTATTAGCAATGGGTACGAATATAAATAATATTGTGTTATAAAAATCGTTTTTTATTTTGTTTTATACATTTTGATTTAGATTTTCGGGTATTGTATTAAATTCCAATATGACAAACATTGTACACGTTATAATATATGTGATATTTTAAAATACAAATTGTCACTTGACTATAATAATGTATTATATTTTTATATTCGTGCACTTACTATTTTTTTTTATGATATACAATTTTAATTATTTTTTAAACGTTTTACATAAATCGGTGAACGAATATTAATATTGTATTAATTTAAAACTACTGTCTACAATAGAGATTAACTAATATGTAACTGGACTATTTTGCTATCAATAACCAACGCCATTATTACTGGCACTGCCGGCGACTGAAGGCATACGTTGGTCCGCTCCTCCAGCGGTAGGCGAATCTTGGAAATCACCGAAATACTGTTGAGGTTGTTGCTGTTGACGTAACAGGTAACCATAAGCCACGTGCCTCGGTCCGAATAGTAACTGATACAGGTCCTTGGCGTTACGAATTGTAGGAGGGTAAATGGGTTCCTGTTCGGTGCTGCTGTCGAATGCACTGCGCTGCTGGTCCGATCCCAAGTAATACTTACTCGGTACAGTTGACTGTTTCCTCTTGCCGAATCTAATCTCGCACAAAAAAAAAAAAATACAATAAAATATTTTTAAAAAAAATACACGACATTGCATAGAATGACGGATGGAAAAGTCCTACAATACCTAGGTCGAGATACGACGGCCAAGTATTGACCGAGCTGATCCAAGTAAGTGCGCAGTTCTCCGGGTGAACCAAAAGTTTTGGGTCGGGTAGGTCGAGCTACTGTCTCCAAAGACGATGCAGCCGTTTCAGATAACATGGCCGGATGACACTTGACTGCCGCTGCGGCAATGGTCAGCCACACGATCGCTACTATGGCACTATTTTCGCCACAAACCGTGACCATGGTGCCGAATACGGTGAAAAATTCAGCTGGATAAAATGTAAACGATTTATTAGTTCAATTACACATTGAAGTGAAAAGTTAGGCCAGGCAAAATTTTCTAAAAAAAACAACCGAACGCAATACACGATTAAACGGATCATAATGTTAATAATATCAAAATATACTATAAATAGTCTTAAAAAAAACACTTTTCTATGTTTTCTATAGTTGCGCCTGAAGTCTTCGACAGACTCAGTACGAGAAGGGAAAGCCAATATCGGAAAATAATCGAACCCGGATACTATGCAAATTTTAATTTTTAATGTTGTCCTGATTTGAAGTTTAATTCTAAAACGCTACTCTTAATATGCTCTCCTGATAAAATTAATTATTATTAGAATGATTACACTACCTAGTAAAGGCTATTTTAGCTATTTTATAGGAATCCAAAATTTGACGAGTTTTATTTAGCTCCAGCGTAATAAGTCAACAATATATACATTTGAAATAGTACAAATAGAAAAGCAATTAGAAGAAATAGGAACAAAATATAAAATAAATGTTACCTAATTTTGATTAAATCCCGTTTTATAAATCTAGTGCTATTTTTGGCAAACTCTAATAATTATAGTAGATAATTTTTTTTTTTAAAGTTATTTATGAAAACAAATATTTATATTTTTTCTCACCCTTCTCAAATTGTGATTGGGGTACTTGCGAATAGGTACCTACATACGCTTCGTGGCTGTTATATTATTAGGTACGTGAACGAATACAAAGTAAAACTACTATCAGACGCTCTAAGTGGACTTGTGCGTGTGTCTAATGCAATTATCGTCGCTGAACGTTTTCCACTAAGCTCTTATGGCGGGACTGACATCTAAGTATTTGCTATTTCCCAAACGCCTGCACACTCTTGTGTTAAAACACTTGTTTTAGGCGTTATTGGTTATTGGCTGCATCACACCACCTGTATGCGTTTCTCTGTGAGTGCCTTCCGCCGTTATTGACCTGTCAGCACAGCAGTGGGCAATTGAAACACACTATAAAAGTATCTCTGTACATTTGTTTTTAACTCACACATACATGAATGATTTTTAACGCAAGACAACAAGTGATGTCCCCGAAGGAATTCCAATAAAACGATGTGATGCGTTCCAAAATTATAGAAGAAAAATATATTTAGCTGTGTAATTTTTTAATTTAATTTAAAATGTAAAAAAAACACTGTTGTTGTGTTAACATAAACACCAGAATACTATGCACGATATATTAAAATACCCCTATTTGTTTACCTTTTGTATATTCAGTATTTATTTTACGAATTCATGTATCTTGTATGATTATTAGGTTACTCAGGAAAAAACAAAACTGTACAGATAAAACAAAAAAAAACAAAATAACTCAACAAAGTCCACACTCGGGAATTAGTTTTTAGATATAATGTAAACATTCTGAATAAAAAGTTGAACAAAATATAATTTATGATGTCCGTTAATTATTATAATACAACGGTTTATTGTATAGGCATCAGATTAGTTATTTTACACGAAAAAATACTGATTAGAGTAGCTAGAACATTTAAACATTTTAAAACGAGGTTTAACTTCTGGAAAATGTATATTTTGTCAAGCTATGGACCAATATAATTAAATGTTTTATGAACATTCACTAAGTACAGATATACTGTGTATTCAAATCTAAAATTATAATTTACTTTAAACTTGAAATGATTGGTATAATAGTATGAATGTCAATAATATAACCTGTTTAATTTTAAAAATATTAACAATGTCGTTAGTTTTGTGGTTTATATTTTATTAAAAATAACATCTGTATTTTATATCATGCAAACGTATTTAAATGTTGCGCGCGACATAAACGTTTAGTGAATATTAAAAAAGAACATAATAATATAGGATAAAAGCAATGTGGTTCTATAATGTGGTTTTATAAGTGTTCAAAAAAGTACTTTGAAAGTACTTGGACACTGTATTTTGCTCTGAATTAAGTATTGGAAATTTATTTTTAAATACTATTCACTTTTCAAACACAAATACAAATATTATTTTAAAAGTTCAACGATTTAATTAATAAGTAATTTTTGGGCACTTTTGAAGGAATATAGGAAAAAAAAAAGACAATGTCATGTTTTAAACACATATTCAGTATTCCTACTTTTGGGCTGTTGATATCCTTGTGTTTGTATAATATCCATATCATGATTTGTACCTATTCTGTTTTATTATTATATAATTTAATTACTACTTTTGCAGGCAGATGGTTATGGGGATTTTTATTTTTGAAATGCTCATAATTTTAGCCTGTTTATATTGTTGCACTTATAGAAACTTGCTTTCAAATAACGCCAATTAACTTTGCTTTCACCCGAATAGCTCAAGTTAAACTTATATACATATTAACAGTGATACTAACATTATTATTGTACATTTTTTAATAGTTAAACACCGTTTTGTTTTGGTCGCTCATCACAATATTATGTGTCCAACATTTATTAAATTATTATTTTTTCCTTGTTTTTTTAATCAGATTAACATTTTCAAAGCATATGTGATTCGGATTATTTGGCCACAATATTGAAATGTAAAAACAAATAAAAATTAATAAAACAAATTAGTGAGCTGGTAAGGGCTAAAGTATATATTTGAATATATTATATACAGTGTAATCAATTTAACGTAAGACACTTATTTTCTCAGAAAAAACTCGCAATAATATAGTTTTTCTTTTTTAAAACATTTTTTAATTAATTTAGAATAATTTGTTGATTGGCCGATTACTATTTTTAGATAAATCCTTTTTTAGTTATAAGGATATTGCGGTAATTAATGCGCACAGAGAAAAATAATTAATCAAAATTAATATTGGTTTTTATTTTTCAGTAGTTTATTAATAGCGTTTTAATTTTATGTTCCGTTATAATCATTACATACAATTATAGGTGCCGTCAATGTTTGACTTCCTCTTTCCTGTATTCCGTTCTCTAAATACTTGTAATTATATTATCATTTATCCCTTATTGTATTACACTATTACCCGTTTACAGATTGTGATGAAATTTTGTTAAAATAATTTTGCTTTTCGATAAATTACAAACATAACTACTTACATTACATTTGTTTCTATCCTAAATAAATCACCCTAGATTAAAATGTCTTAAATGTGCAGAAAAAAATCATTCGAGCTGCAATAATTAACCGAACCTTACCACTAAATGTTTTTTTAGTAAACTATGACTGGCCTAATTTTATCAAATTTATAATATTTGGCCAGTAATTTGTAGCTCAAAATAACATATTGTTAAAAAAAAAAAAAAACCTTTTTTAAATGAGATATCTAAGACATAGTATTTATCACCAAAAAGTATTTATAAAATATTTTTAAAATACTCTTCAACGTTTTAAAAACTTGTTTTAACAATTTAATTAATCGTCAATCATATGCATTATAATATCAATTATTCTTATTTTTTTTAAATATAAAATATAAAGTTATAGATGTTTCTTTATTTTTCTGCCCTATAATGCAATTTAAATTTTAACTTACTTATTTTTTAAGCGTTAATCTTGTCAATCAAATATAATACAAATTATAGGTATTTTTAATTATTTTCAGAGTAGAAATATATTGAATATTTTCGAGTGTACTTTTTACGAATTGTGCTAATCAGGCTAATTTTATTGGAAAATGTTTTATAGTTACGTCAGTATTTAAATTGATAATTAGTGTTGACTATTATTTTGGTAAATCAAAATTACATTCTAGTAAGAATATATAACCATTTTACTTTAATAATGGTTTTAAAATGATAAGTAGTTACCGAATAGTACAGCTACCAATATTTTTAACATACTAATTTAACAATGAGTCCTATACCATTCATACCTTAACTTATTTGGATTTATATACATATATCGATTTTTTTTTAAATTAAACCAGATTGATCTTAAACAATATAAATATGATTACCGTTCGGTTGTAAAGTAAAAGTCACTTTGTTTTTAATATTTTAAGGAGTGAGAACACAAAATGGTATAAGTAAAAAATTTTTATACAATTTTATAGGGGAGCAAAATTTAATTTATTTTTCGTGTTCTTATAGCTGGTACTCAATAATCATTTGTTTTCTTTGGTATCTCTTTAGAACATTGTAAAACAAACACAGAAAAAAAGCAATGCTTCTTCGACAAATAATATTGTATTGTCAAAAATTTGTTTTTGAAAAAAAAAACTCACTTGTACCGTTTTGGTTCTCGTCAACTGAATTTAGAAGACGTTTAATTTTTTTTGACAGCTATAGCTTTATAGCTATAGCTGTCAAAAAAAATATACTTATGTATATTTTTTAAGTACAATTTTTAAAATACTTTCAAATACGAATCTTACCTGATTGTTCTTCTGGCGTACGGTTACACAGTTGTTTGCACGTGTGATTTAATCAAGTCAAATGATCTCGAGTGCCGGCGAACCGATTGGAGAAGTCAAACCGATGTGGCCGTTGATCGGTGGTAAAAGAGATCACGGGACAAGCGGCCCGGCAGTTTTATATGCGTATGCAAACCCCTCAAGGGAGAGGGCGCGCGCCTGTCGCCGTACCGTGTGCTGGCGTATCAGCAACAGGTCGTTTATCCTCTCCGCCACCCCTCTCCTCTCCATTCTTGTTATTCCAACTTTTTGACTTTTAGCATATAGTCGCCCCCGCTTACTCTAAACCGATTATGTAAGTTAACCCTTATAAAGCGCACAACCGAACAATACAAATTAAGTGTCCGCGTACTTACGGCTGCAGCTCGTATTGCGGATCCATCGGATAGGTCTTATACATACACTGTTGATCCGATATATACCTATTGTTGAACACCGTGTACCACATATTATTATATTAATACTCGTGTGCGATCTGACGACTCTCCGTAATCTTCTAAATACGGAAATTGCGAAAATAACACAGAATTTTGCTTTTTACGAATACTCGGATCGCAACAAAGCCGAAGCTTAACGGTTGAAACCAAGTCCGCTCGTAAGCCTCTTACCTATATAATATGATATTGTTATTATGATGTTTTATGGTGAAACAAATAATAACCACATGTGTTGTTCGAAGAAACGGCAAAGGGTTATGCTTGCGAGTATGGCTTTGGTTCAAACGTATTGACACATGTATACTTATAACATAATATATTAAATATTTTATGGTAACTATATGATAACTCAAAGAGAAAGATCACGATAGAGTGCCTCTGACGATGATGTATCATTACTATTTGTATATTTCAACGCCTGTTTTGGATTCACGACCATTTATAAGTTTTTATTGATATTAATATTATTTTTGCAAATCAACTAACATCCAAATAATATAAGTAACTAACAAACGATAAATCAGAGTCCTGGGACGATAATTCCGATTCCAGCGGTCATGGCAAATCAATCACAACGCAACATTAAATTTAACGCCACGCCATTGAACAGCGGTCCAAAAGAAAAAAATGGTGGCATAAAATCAATGAATTGAAAACATTTTTTTGTATAATTTGTAACAATAGTAATATTAAATAGAGTTTCAAATGACCGACAATTTTCGAGAAAATTTGGAAAAATACTGTTCAATAGTAATTGCTACACAATTTAAAATATTATTTGTCCAACATATAAGACAAATTTTAATAGTTAGGTATCTCCTTTTAACAACCTTATTAAAAACTATTAATTAATATATAATAATAAAAATCATTTTAGTATAGTTTTTAGTAATTTTCTTGAAAAATATTAGCTAAAATATAATAAGTATTTTTTTTCCATTTACCCTGTTTAATGGTAGACTTTTCTTTAAGTAATTTTTTAGAAAACTACTGGGAAAAACGAAAAATAACCTCTTTAAAGTTCCATTTAGAACCGCGTTGTTATCAAAAAAATTCTTTAACACAAAGCTCCCACTTGAGTCCTTCTACCACGCTCCGCTCAAAATCTAAAATTATTAATAATTAAAAGGTAAATATATATTATAATATGTTGCTATACAATTTGTTTTTTCAATGAAGTATGAAATATTAAGAGCACTGTATGCCTTATATATTTTAATGTAAAAAAAACATCATCACGTAGAATGGATTTTATAGAACTATGAATAGTTAAAGTAACAGTACCATTTTCAAACTCGAAGAAAATAATATTTCCGTGTGCTGTAGGTTGGAGATTTTTGAAATAATTATTTAGAAAGTTAATTTTTTTCCATGAAATATTAGAAACCCCTTTCAATTTATCAAAAATGCTTTAACATACAGCCTCCAGAAATATTATATTCTATGAATTTAAATACATTTGTTTTAGATAAAAACTAAGATTTTATAAAAAAAAAACTTTTATAAAACTTCTTAATGAATAGGGATGTAGGATCCACTTAAGATTAACTTCTACTTTTATTTTAGTGAACTTTCCATAACATTACTGATTTATTTTTCTTGAACAATATTTTGTTATTTATTTTACTATTACTTAACCCCTTAAATTACAAGTAAACAAAGTATATATAATTTTGTACAAATAGTATAGATTTCTATACATTCATTATACAATATTATTAATTTATTTTATGTAATTTAAGAGGTTTAATAATGGTAAAAAAAAAATGTAAAAATATTTGTCAAGTAAAATAAATAAGAAGGCGGAGTGGGACTTTTAAATACTGAATTACAAAAAAAGACAGACCGTGTTTTTTTCTAAGTCTTCGAAAAATGCAATATTTGTAACAGATATTATACTGTACTACTTACCTGTGTATAAAAACTGTATAATAAAATAGAAAAAAAAAGAATATATTAAAAGAATGTGTTTAAGCCTAAAAAACAACACTAAAGAGTACAAGTATTGTTTTTTTTTTTATCAGTTTTGACTTTTTATACATTTTTATCAGGTATTTATAATTTTATAATACATCTAAAAATTGTACCTAAAATGAGTATTAAAAATATATTTTTATGGCTAGAATAAGCAAAAATTATATTTTACAACAAACTTACTTGTAGTGTGTATTGTTTTCAGATTAAGTTCCATAATGAATACGGGTGAATACAAAAACAAATGGTTTCAATTTTTATTTTTAGAAAGACTGTCACATAATATCCAATTATATAATTGGCTGTGGGTGTGCGTGTGTGTTACTCGATGACGCTAAAACGATTTTGATGCTGTTTTTTGAGAATTCATCTCACCTTTTCTGATCAGATTATAACATATGAAGAAGCTTCATCTTTGACCTCTTTAATTTATCTAATTTAAACAAACTAAATTTAGTCTGAATATGTATGATGTTGGGGTACGTAGGCAATAAAAAAATTGTTGATAATATAATATATAATAAGACAGATATAATTAGATATATATAGAATAGATATATATAATAAGATAGATATAATTAATAAGTATTTTGATTGTAATTGCATTTTTTATTTTTAGTCCCAGATTGATTATAATTTTAATACGAGTTTCAAATAATATAGCAAGTGCCTTTATGTGAAATTTTTGTAATCATAAAACAAAATTTAACTGTTATTTTTCTGTGCTGTTTTTTTAAGCTAATAAGTTCAGCTTTAGTACACAGCTCCTTAATGTAAGAATAAATTAATTTGAATTATTGTATATTAGATATCAGTTCTATGCTTTCAATGAAATCAATAACAGCGCTTCAATAAATAATAAGAATCATCTATAATGAAAGTAATTAGCCAATCAGTATGATTGATAAACAATAGATTTAAAAGGTCGAGTCATTAAAAAGTTACATTTTATTAAAATTATTTCATACGTCCCTTGCAACATTTCACTGTTTTTCTTATTTAAAAATATTAAACTTGCCAATAAAATATTTAACTATTATATTAGTATGTAAACCCTAGTTTCTAGCTATTCGTATAAAGTAAGTTTTTTTTTAATTGTAAAATAAGTTTTCACATTTTAGATGGACCGAAATGAAATATGCATAATACCTAGTATGATTATAAAAACTTTTTATTTTTTGTATAACACCAAATCACTAATATAAATACAAAATTTATTTTTAAAAGTAAGTGATTTTCAGATCAACATAATTGTTATTAAAAATAATTCGATTGGAAAATTTGTGTCACAGCTCATAACGTCATACCAATAAAAAAATTACACACAAGGATATTTACTCATTTATTGTTAGTAAAACATTTCGTTGAAAACCTTTCATACGTATGATTAAGGTTATAATTAAACTTTCCATATGCATAAAAATAGGTTAACAATACCGTTATTGCATTTTACTAAAGTAATTATCAATCAAATAATGCTTTTAATACTATTTTTTCGTATGAATATGTACAAAATGTATGGTTATTCAGTTTTCCTATTATAAAAAATAAAACAAATTGTTAAAGTACTAAATATTAAAGCCCTTTCATTAATAAATTGATAACCAATATTATAGTGCCACAATAGCAAATATCGTCTTCTTGCCAAAATTTATTAACGGTGAATTTGCCATTTTTTTTTATGGCGTTATCTATTGTAAAACATAATTGTTTTCGATTGACAAGTGGTGTTCATAGTGAATTTCCCACTTTAAATGCCTTTTTATTAATAATTTTATATTTTAACTAACGGCTAATATAAGAAATCGATAAAGCGAAAACTCATTAATGGTTTAGTAAGTTTTAGCTAAATTAAAACAACACACTTTTTACAGCTACGGGCCCGTATCAATGGTATCTAAAATTCATTATCGGTCCAATAGTATGAATGATGATAATTTACAGGCCACAATAAATATCCAGAATTCAGACGAAGACTCCACCATTAATGATTTTTTTACAGTTAATACCAATAGAAATAATCGTTTTTCTATTTAGAATAACTCATTAACGGCTAACATAAAAAAATGAATTATATAAAAAATTGTGTTATGTTACATATTATTGGAAAACCCCAATATATTTGAATACAGTAATATATCAGGTCTCATACAAAAAAATAAATTGTGAATACTTTAAAATGTGAAAATTCTATAGGGTTAAAACCAAAAATTCACTATTTGAAAGACTTTCTAAAGTAATTTTCTGAACGATCAACTTTTTGCTGTTAACGAATTTTGACAAGAAGCCGATGATATACATTCTATCTAATTTAATATTTTTAAAAAAATATATAATAATTATTTTTGTTGGTTTTATACAATATTTAAAATTTGTCCAGTCAATAATTTCAGTTAGATTAACATATAGTAACAAACGTTACTATATGAAAAAGTATACACAGTTAAGTATATTAAAAAAAAATACTACCTATCTACAGTTTCGCATCGATGCGTTTATTTTTATCACCTTCAGTTATTACTAAACAGGTAATAAGGTATAAATAATAATTCTTAAAGAACTAATACAACTATTATTTAAATAATGGTATTTTGAATTTATTTAAACATTCAAAGTTTTTGAATAAAATATTTGTTTAAATATTAATTAAAACTTTATTCGATTGGTTATA